TGTGTGTCTCTGGCTTCAGCTCTGAAGTCAAAACCCTCACACCTGAGAGAGCTGGATCTGAGTGACAATAACATAGGAGACTCAGGAGTGAAGCTGCTCTCTGCTGTACTGAAGGATCCTAAATGTCAGCTGGAGAAACTCAGGTTAGTACTCAGACTATATCATTACAAGGAATTTGTAGATGAGATATAATTGTAGTCTTTGCTAATATTTTTTAAATTAGTTATTTCATTATGGTTTTATCGTATTTTACATTTTGTTTAAAACTAAATAAATTTTAATACAAATACTTTCCCAGTTGAACCATATGTCCAGAGCTGAGAGAGTGAAGAGTTTCTCTCCTTCTCTTTACAGTTTGTCACACTGTAGAATCACAGATACAGGCTGTGTGTCTCTGGCTTCAGCTCTGAAGTCAAACCCCTCACACCTGAGAGAGCTGGATCTGAGCTACAATCACACAGGAGTCTCAGGAGTGACGCTGCTCTCTGCTGTACTGGAGGATCCAAAATGTCAGCTGGAGAAACTCAGGTTAGTAGTCAGACTACCTATGTGCAACAGTTGCAACCAATGTTAATTACAAGATGTATACGTGATAATTATGTATACCTGAAGTTACTACAGTACAATCCAGTGATAACGGACTTCAAGGGACCTGGCAAAACAGTTCGTTATATCCAGAGTTGCTGTATGGCCAGAACACAACTACAGGACACCATTTACTCATGCCACACCCCAGCAGACACACTTGTGGTATAGATTATTATATTGTACATGTAGGAATACAACTTTACCTGACTGTTGGAGGTATATATGGCCTATAAATACTTACTGCATCCCTGCAGCTGCGAGCGTCGTCTACCGACGCACAGCGTGCTTGGTGATGGACAGTCACACAGACCAATCAGTGTTCCCTGCTGTTTCGCCATGCCTGTTTATAGGGCGTCACTATTAATAATCCCGTCTACGTATCTGCGCTGGATATCACCGGCACACCATGCGTATTGTAGGCGGAGCCTGCATGTCCATTATAAGCGAACAGCTAAAAGCGGCCCTGGGCACTAAATTCTTTGTCCGTTATAAGTGAATCCGCTATATCCGATGCTTTTTCTGCATGTTCTTAATGGTGCACGGCCATGACCAGCAGACCTCGTCCGTTATATAAGATATTACGTTATAAGCGAGTCCACTATAACGGGATTATACTATATCTGTATACATTAAATGAAAAAAATATTAATTATTAATCAAATATTAGGTATTTGTTAAAAAATAAATACATTGTGTTATACTTACTTTCCTAAGCTGTCTGTCCAGAGCTGAGAGAGTAAAGTGTTTTTCCTCCTTCCCTTTACAGGTTCTCAGCTTGTGGAATCACACATACAGGCTGTGTGTCTCTGGCTTCAGCTCTGAGGTCAAACCCCTCACACCTCAGAGAGCTGGATCTGAGCTACAATCACACAGGAGACTCAGGAGTGAAGCTGCTCTCTGCTGTACTGGAGGATCCTAAATGTCAGCTGGAGAAACTCAGGTTAGTAC